CAAAGATGAGGAGTTTGAGCTGGAGCCTATGGAGCTGCCTCCATTCGAGATCATTATAGGGTATGTCAGACATCTTTTATTATCTCTCATCACAAACTGGATCCACAGTAATATTTCTATCACTCAGCAAGAACAGTGGCACACAAAAAAAGGGATACAACAGTTTGTCACTGGCTCAACAGCCTTAACGTGACAACTTTGTGTCTTATTTACCCCTTAAACAGTTCATAATTGTAACTTAAGGGTACATATTACCACTCTAAGAAATTATTAGGCACCTTTTAGGGGTAGAGGCACAAATTTGTCCCTTTAAGGGTACTGAAAAGCTGCTGAATCCCTAAAGGTAAATTTTTTGCTAATTTGTTTCTGACAGTGTCTCTTAAAAATTCATAACAGCATGGCATATTGCATGACACCACAACCTAATTTAAGATGACTTTGCCACTTGTTTGACTTTGACACTAAAAGGGCATTTTAATAAATGAAAACTTATAGATAAGAGTGTTTGGGTTGGTCGGACCAACTTTGACAAAAGTTACATCTGAAATTCCAACATGTTGGGTAGGAACATTATACATTTGAACAATCCAGGTTATTGCTTTGAACCCCAGTGCTTTTAGAATTTGGGACTTTTCTGTAGGCTACTCAGTATAATATTTATGTATTTATGAGTTTTCTTGTCCCTGCCTTGGTGTAGTATCCCGAAACCATGAAGTAGCAGGCACTTCATGACCAAACGTATGTAGGCACCACCTTCTAATTGACCAGTTTGACTATTTCAACTACACCCACAGTAACAGTTGCATAAAATCTGAACCAAAGAGCTCAATGACTTTCAACTGGGTACATCACTAAGTAAGGTCCATAAGGTTTGATTAACCTGCACAAACACAGACCTGAAACACCATTGGAATGAATTGGTCTTATGTTTAATTAGGAGCAAATCTCTAACCCTAACCCTTACCCAACCATGATTCAAATTCTAACAGACAACACTCCCAGAAATGTGGAAGCTGTTAGAGCAGACTAATTCCCTATTAATATCTGGTTTTGAAATTGTTCAACCAGCACATATGGGTGTGGTGTTCAGGTGGCCATTTACTTTAAGCCCGTACTTTAAGTTTGTAAATTTTACCATTCAATGGGTTCTTCTTTCAAACAAAATAATACTCTAGAGAAACTCACCCGAGATTTTATAAGAATTTGTTCCTCAAAGTGATCAATACAAGAGCATTAAGTCCTTTTGAGTCACTGCCTATTAGTGCCCACTCAAACAGAAGCACTTCTTGTCCAATGTTAATGCATTCAGTTGTTTTGAAGCTGGAATACACCACACAACTTTGACGACTAGTAAATTCCAGCTTTTACTTTAATCTAAGCCACACTTTCTCACAATAGGTTGTGAAAAGTCTTATTTCCAAATGTCCTCCTTCTTCCCACAGAGACAGAATGAACCCGAACTTCTTTAAGTTCCAATTTAAAAATGTGGAATATTCCTCCGGACGCAACAAGACCTTCCTGTGCTACCAGGTAGACATTCAAGGAGGCGCTGCAGAGACAGAAGGCCTTCGCGGTTACCTAGAAGATGAGCATTTGGGTTCACATGCTGAAGAGGCCTTCTTTCAACAGGTGCTGGCCTATTATGACAAGTCACTCCACTACACAGTGACCTGGTACATGTCCTCGAGCCCATGCGCAGCCTGCGCTGCTAAGCTCGTAGAGATCTTGCGAGCACGCAAGACAATGCGCCTTAATATCCACTGCTCCCGTCTCTTCCAGTGGGAGGAAGCAGAGATACAGGCCGGACTTCAGGCGCTAGTTAGGGCGGGGTGTAAAATACACATGATGAGGCCTGTGGATTTTGCATATGTTTGGTCTACGTTCGTTGAGAACGAGGAAGATAACTTTACACCCTGGGAGGACTGTCAAGATAACTATGATTATTATGATGAGAGGTTGTGTGATATTTTAAAGTAGGGTAAGGAGCCGCAGCTGGCCTCTGATTAAGACTGTTAAAAACAGCCTGGGCACCGCCTTTAAGCAAATTTAGTACTTGAAAGCTAATTATTACAATGTCCCTGTAATTACAACAGCATTGTTTTCTCTGTCAACACTATTC